GTATGTGGGTAGCCAATGCTCAAAAGGTCATAGTAGCAACCCCTGAGTCAGATGGCCGTGGGTTCAACCCCAGGAAGATGAGCATCAAGTCTAGGTGGACACTGCAGTGCAGTCCTAAGGAGTGTGGTATTGTTGGAGATGCCAACTTTCAGATGAGAGCCCCTACTGCCCTGTTCTGGATGTGAGGTAACCTGTGGCACACCTTTAAAGAAGAGCAAAGAAGTTCTCCCTAGTATCCTATTGATCGTTTATCCCTCAATCAACAACTGTATAAAACATTGTTTAGGCCACAACTAGAGTATTGTGTGCAGTTCTGGAATCCACATTTTAGGAGGGATGTGATAGCATGGAGAGTGTGCACAGGAGATTTACCAGGATGTTACGTGGGCTAGAGAGTTTCAGTTATGAAGAGAGCTCGGATAGACAGAGGTTGTTTTTGTTAGAGCAAAGAAGATTGAGACAGGACATAATAGAGACATATAAATTATGAGGGCCATGGATTCTGCAGACAAGAAGAAACTTTTCCCTTTGATGGAGGGATTAGTGACCAAGGCATAGATTAAAGGAATGTGCAGAAAATCTAGAGGGATGTAAGGAGAAACTTTTTCACCCAGAGGGTGGTGAGAATCTGGAACTCCCTGCTTGTAAGGTTGGTAAAGGCAGAAAACCTCAGAAACATCTAAGAAGCATTTAGATGTGCACTTGCAATGCTAAGGCACACATGGCAATGGGCCAAGTGCTGGGAAATGGGGTTAGAATGGGTAGGTGGTTGTTTTTGACTGGCATTAATGAGGTTGGCCAAAGAGCTTTCTTCTTGCTATAAATCTTCATGACTCTACGACATATGATTTGGTCATTTATATTATTGTTACTCATGAGAGCTTGCTTTGCTCAAATTAGCTGCCACAGTCAACAATGACCATGCTTCAGAAGTGCCTTATTGGCTGTAAAGCAACTTGAGACATCCTGAGGTCACGAAAGATTAATGCAACTTTTTTTTCTTGTTTCTCTATTAAGAACACAGATTACAAAATGCATGCAGAAGTTAATCCTGCAGCTAAAATTAATTTTGATAGAGCAGACGGAAAATTAATCTGGAACTGTGTGCTGTTCTAGTCATCACAATGTAAAAATGATCTGATTACACCGCAGATGATACCAAGGAGATTTAGAGGGACGTTGCCTGGATTGAAGAATGTTTGTTACAAACAAAGATGAAGTAATCGAGGCTGTCTTCTTTGGAACACAGGGGGCTGAGAGGAGATTCAATTGAAGTGTATAAAATAATGAGGGACTGAATAGAAGGGTGTGAGGGACCTATCCCCTTGGTTGAGGATTTAGCATAAGACATACAAGGTTTTGAGGAGAAATGCTTTCATCCAAAGCACAGTAAGTGTTCTATATGTACTTTGCCTTTAAGAGACTTTCTCGTTAAGGACACCATGTGTTGTGTGCATACAGTGTTGCGACTCTGCCTGCTGTTGAGTCTGCTTTGTGTCAGCAAACTGCACACGCAGAAATCAGTTGGTTGTTGTAGTTTGTGCTTCATTAGTCAAAGTGTTTTACTGTTTTAAACAAATGAAATCACAGAGTTAATTGATCCCTACAGCAGTTATCATTAACATGACAGTGATGATCTTGATCTCTCTGCCTAAAAGATTGGTAGAGGCAGATGTTTAGCTCTCATAACATTTAAGACATACTTGGATTTGAACCTGAACTCCTATAAACCACAAGACAACAAACTGATGGCTGGAAAGTAGGATTAGACTGAATGGCTACTTGTTAACTGGTGCAGACATGATGGATCAAAGGTGATGCCTCCTGCCTCCTTCTGTGCTGCAAATTTCTATGGCTTCTCTGAGGTGGAAGTCTCAGTTCAAACCAGCACCAGGGGCAAAATGACCTCAGTGGAAAATCCTGCCCTTAGTGTTCCCATTTCCTTGCTTTCTCATACTCTAAATATTAGCAAGAATATAAATAAGTGTTACCAGTGCTGGTATATGGCCTTCGTTATCTTTTCACAGCCTTTTGTTATGGAGGGGCAATGCCCGAACTCCTCTGATAGTTAAACCAAAACACAAGCCCCAACCTGTTATGACAGGAGTAGAAGTTCCCTCCTGATAATTACCCGCAAAGCACCCAGAAAAGCTCACCTTCCCCTTGTAATCTGTTAAAAGTGTGGTTAAAAGGAAGAAAATCCCTGATCTCCACTTTATAAATAATGAGAAACAATTTATTTGTTTAACCCTCACAATGAACAAATTCACAGAATTACTAACAAACTGAACAATTCCCCCTTAGACTACTAACTACTTCCGAACTGGTCTAAATCCTATTGGAATGCTGTTCAAATAAGCACAAATCCCACTTGTACAAACCCAGTTAATAAAAAAAACAATAAATTAAAACTTAATCTCTCCAAGTTCGCACAATCTATGTCTTCACTGCTTTATCTCCAATCTTCCTTCTGTTGATTTCATGTCACAAATGCCTTTCTTCCGTTGATTCTGCTGTCTTGGATGTTTTTCTATTTAATTTCTTCGGTGAGGACTCTGAGCTAAAATGCTGTGGTATCTTTGATGGGTCTTTACAGAGATCCCAATAATTTAATGTGAAAGCCAGGTTTGTATCTCAGATGGCGGACTTGCCTTCTCTGCAGCTGAAGTTTGACTCTCCTCTCAGATGGCAGTTGGCTCTCTCTGATTTTCCAAATGCCCTCATCTTTATATACCCCCCCCTCCAATAACACATCAATTTCTTACAATATGATTCGTTTCAGATTGCCAAAACCATCAGTTTTAAATTCAGTTGGTTTCTGGTAGCTCAGGGCTTCGTTCAAATTGATTAGCTAAAATTCATAACTGTTGTCTTGGTTTTAAAAAAAACTGCTGCTTGGCCTTTCAATATTAATGTTTCAATTTTGGATATTTTCTGTACTGGCACTCCAACTGCTGCTCACAAACATACATTTTAAAAAGATCTCTAATCACAGAAAAAACATCATCTTTCAGAAGGACGACGCACTGCTTTTCCCCACTATCATTTTTACCAGCAAATTCTAACTTTCTGCCTACCAATTCATGACTATTCTACACAACTTCGTAACACTTTCTATATTTGCTATGCTAACATGCCTCTGATAAATAGTATGACATGGAGCAGACGAGTATTCCTGAGTGAGGTATGAAAATTATAGGCCATCTCGTAATGCGATGTGTTCCTGAGATTTGTCCTCACCTCTTGGACAGGAAGCAGAGAGCTTTTGAAGTGTGGAAATGTAAAACAGCCTATTTGTGCACAAGATCCCACCAACAGCAATGCAATAATAACTCAATAATTTGCAATGTTGGGTTAGAGATAAATATTTTGCTTTGATTTAGTGTCTTAGCCAAAAGATGGACCTCAGTGAGTGCAGCGCTCCTATTGGACTGCAGTGAAGGTTTATCTTAGATTATACAATCAAGATTTTGGAGTGGGACATGAAGTTTCAAGCATTAGACTGAAACGCAAGAGTGCTACATGTGACCAGTTAGAGGCAACCTCATTCACTGCCCACCTCCTGCCTTATCCCTGTTACCTGCCCCCCTCCCCCACCATTTCCACTGAGAGGCATCACCTTTTCAATCATCCCAACTATTACCCGATAGCATCAGATGGCACTGGCAGAGTGAAATGTCGGGCAAAGCCAAATTTAAAGAGTAATGCCAACAATTCTCGCTTGCTATGTGACTGGACATCATAAAGAAAACTGAAAAAAAAACAGCCATGTATATAAAATTGTTGTTTAATGTGTAGTTGCTACGTTGTTTGCTTCGGGCAAGTCTCCTACAGAAATCTTTACAGACTGACCTCCGATCCATTAACATAATAAGCCATTTGGAACAAATACACTTAGAATGCGAAGGTTAAGGGGAGATTTTGTGAGTAGAGAGGAAAGAACTGTTTTCACAACCAGGTTGATAAACCAAAGGGAACCAAGAATATTGTATCCACTGGGTTATTATAATGCGGAAAGCACTGTCTGAAAGGCTGGTGGAAGTGTAGCTACTGGTAATTTTCAGAAAGGAAGCAAATGCAGGGAAATGGAGAAAGGCCAGGGGCGTGAGTCTAATTGCATGACACTTCTAAACAGCAAGCACCAACAGGAGGAACTGAATGGCTTCTTTCTTCACCAGTTGATTCTATTAATTTTTCTACAATCCTGAAACTTGTTTGATAGTTTATTCGACAATTTCTGTTTCTTACTAAGATCCCCTTGGATAGCTCCAGCAGAATTCAAGTAATGCAAAGGGAAGACAGAATATTTTGGGCTTTTGAATACAGTGAGCAATGTCACCAGCAGGAGCTGCTCACCTCTTTCAGGTTTTGGAAAGGGGCGACTGCTTTATAACAGCCTTTATAGAATGAGTTCCACTACTAAAGTGGAAGTTGGCAACAGATCTAGAAAGCAAACAGAAAAGATAAAGTGCTGCCTGGATTATTTTTAGTTAACTTCCTCATTGGCATTTTGCACGTTCCCTCCCTTTCTGTCTTTACCCCCCTCCACACACACACACACACACACACACACACATCCCCCATAGGTGCAATCTCTTGTCTGCTGCACAAACTGTACAGCAACACTTTCCCACATGCGGGTCATCGCTACATATCCTCCCAGTTGGTGAGGCCCCTCTGTCATGACCCTAATCTAGGAGGAGCAAACACCCAGAGGCACGTCAAAGCTGAAAAATGATAGACATGCCAACTATCCCTCTACTCAGCTCCTTTTAACTGCACGTACAAGGCTTGTGACAGCAGCGTTTGGAGAAAATGCTGTTAAATTACAGCTGAAGCAAGGCTTGTGATTGAAATGAGTCTTTACAGTACATCGAACGGGCAGTAACACTCCAGCAAAAAGTACTCCTGCTCACCTCCCCCACTTCCAGCCACTACCTCCCCTTTTCTTCAATCTACCTGAGTGTTATAGCTACGCTCTCTTAATTGTGACTGCACTGTTCTGTATCACTCTTCTAGGATGGCAGAGGCTGAACTGCAGAAGCAAAGACTCCAAGCCATAGCAGTAAGTCAATTCTCTCTTTTATTCTTTCCAGCAGACTTGTAACTTTTTGGCTTGTTCAGTCTATGTGTCATGTGCCTACCTTTTTAGGAGACAGAGCTGGAAGGAGGCAGGCCATTAAAAGAAGCCAGCTGGGGTGTGAATCTGCCTGTACTCTGGAGGCACTTTCACTGATAGGTCATAAGAATCTCTAATAACGATGTGTTAATATGCGCAATGGTCTTCTGTGTTGAAGCAGGTCACAATTGTTATTTGCGTGTTCGTGTTGACTGTTTCTGTTTAGTTATGGTTTTCTTTATAACGTTCCTTCCCCAACAGTAATCGGAATCTGTTTTTGTTTAAAAGAAAGTAAAATAGGCTTAAGTCTGAGGTATGTCACAATTTTTTTGAAGAAAGAGAGAGATTATTACAAGATCTTGAATTCTGCACTGGATTGTTGTGTCTGATTAAAAGCAGAGCAATATTTCTGAAAACTTGCCCTGCTGAGAGTCCAACTCTAAACTTCAGGCTTAGCTTTTGAGTTTAACGCATTGAGAGCATATAAACCAGCAATTATCATTGTGTTAATGGCTCGTCCCTGAAAATGAGCAACAGCCTAACTGGGATTAGTTTGTAATGTCAAAGACCATGGAATGTGCATTAAAGTTTTGATCATGTGAATGCCTTGCAAAGTTGAAAACCGGTTTTATTTTATGTAGAGCATTGGTTTTTCTTTTATTCTTCATTTTCAACTAGAGTGCTATCATTTTAAAGTGTGATTACTTTAAATTTTTTGTTCATTGCTCTCTTAGAACAAACCAAAACTAAGAACTTGTCGTTTAAAATCCTCTTGCAAAGATCTGACTGCTGCACGCAGAGGGCCAATGATCTCTTATTCGGTTTACTACACGTGTTTGTCACAGTTTGATGTAGTCCTCTGGTATTGGAGATTTTTTATATCAGTACTTAAAGGGTTCTTTTTGTTTGAGCACTAACACAATACTGTATGATTTTATGGGGATTTTCAGCAAGGGCATGGAACAATAATAGTTAAAATGATGGAAAATCCGGTATATTTACTAATCAGATGTTGAATGGTTTCTTTATATCCACACTTTCTGTTTCACCAAGATCTCTACTCTCTGACCTTGTTGCATCTTTCATCTCAAATGTTCTCCAATTAGCGGTTGTGTCATCACCCGTCAGCCCGAACCTTTGGAACTCCTTCCTCAAATCTCATTGCTTTGTGACCCTCTCTTGGTCCCTCTTTAAGACATTGCTTAAAACCTACCTTTTTGATCAAACTCTTGGTCATCTGTCTTTCTTCTTAAGTGACGTGGAACATGATTTTTCACACTAATAGTCCTGCGAAGTACCCCGAGTCGTCATCTAAACGGCACTATAGCAATGCAAGTTGTTGTTTCAGCTAATTTTGAACTGGAACTGATTTAGTTTCCCTTTCAGCCATGTGTTCCTGCAGTAAATCTGTTGTTATTAGGCAATAAACGCATAGAAGAGAAAGATGGACTTTTCCTGTCTGATATGATAAGACCTTTGCTGGAGGTTTCAGCAGCAACAGCCTTGATGAACAACTGAGGAGGGACTGGAAACAGTCTGATCTGGAACTAGTATTTTCAGGGAAGAATTGGACACAGGGGCAGGCTTTTCTTGCGTCCCTTCACCAGAATGCAGAACAGCTTGAGTTTGATTTCCATCCAGAGATGTTGACACAGATGATTTTAATTAAAACCGCGGCTACTTTGCTGAGCTGATTTATATTACTGCAGAGAGAACGGTTGGGTAGGAGGAGCCTTGGGGAATGTCTAAGAATAGCTGTTTCTGTGATTGGGACAGCTAGTCAGCAAGACTGAGGGCAAACTGCTGTAAAACTGAGAGTCTAACCAAATGTCCTGAAGCTTCAACTGTGTGACATTTGCTAGGCTTGGAGACATGGTATCCCATGTCTCGAAGAATTCAACTCTGGGGGCAAAGGTTTCCTGGAGAAACAGTCCACTAGAGGCCTCATGAAATTCCTTTGATGGACAAATGTGGAAAGAATATAACGATATTCTGAACCAAGTTCAATTTTGACTTGTATATAAAAGTTGTTCTCGGCGGCAAGAATCTAGCTGTTTCCAGTCCTCACCACAAAAGAAAAATGGCCATTTCTTCACTCAACTCTCAGATATTCAATTAATATTTCAAACCCAACTTAATGAAATACTTATGATTTATAATAATCGATGATGTTGTCTCTGAACTGTTACTGCTATTTTTAACGTATGTATGACAGGAAGGAAATGCATTTTAAGAAAAATTACTTTCGTGGATGGCGAAAACTGGTTTGTATGGTAATATTGTGGCCTAGAAGCTATCAGCGATATTTTCAAATGCGTAACGTATTCTCAATGCTGTGTGCCAGGGCACTGTTGGAATTGTGCAACTTGTGCTCCTGCATGGGAAATGTGAACCAGTCAATGGTCCTGAGAAGTTCCAAAATGCTTATTTATAAATAGCAACATACAACACAGAATACGAAAAGGCTTTTTGACCCATCTAGTCTTCACCAGCTCTTCAGCAGGATGACAAAAAGTAAGATAAATAGTGATGCACAAATTTCAATATTTTTTCATTAGCATTTTCTCACAAGTGCCCATCAAAGGTGAATCATTTCACTTTAATTCGGTCGCATCATTTCTGAGGAATTCATGATTCAAAGTGGAGTTTGAAAACAGTAGACTGCGTGGAAAATGTCTCCTTCCTAATTCCACTTGAATTCAAACAGCAATCCGTTTTCACATCTCAAATCACAATGTTTGTTTCACATGATGATGAAATAAGTTTGTACCTAATTATTTCCTAACATACGAACAAGGAACAAGAGTAGACCCCTCGGTCCTTTGAGCCTGCTCTGTCATTCAAGAGGATTTTGGCTGATCTGATTTTAACCTCAACTCTACATTCCTGCAAATCTCTTATAATCTTTCATTCTCTTGGTCATCAGGAATCCATCTCCCTCTGCCTTAGAAATATTTTAATACGTACCAATATGATGTTTGGGGAGTGCACTTTTTGGGATGCAGATGGTAGCACAAACTGAGTAATAACTTACTGCTTGAGCCAAGGAGTGTTTTCCAGTCTCTCATTGCTGGCATGTTTATGTAACCTCCTCTCTTAATTGTGTTTAAATTTCTGAAACCCCAGCAATATCCATGTTCCTCCCACAACCTCTGCATTCCAGTCTTACACTCAATTTATAAATAGCACATGTTCCCACTATGTCTCCCTGAGCTTAATATTCCCAGATTTCATCTGTTGTCCCACTCACTTTTAGTTTAGAGAAGGTACTTTATTTTTTGCCAATCCTCTCCCAAAGTAGACTTCAGGAACCCAATTGTATCTCATTCACAAATACAATTTCATGCCATACAAAGTGTGTTGCATGATGGACTTACTGCACCCTCTGTCAAAGATTGGGACAGATCTTGCCTGGACTATAACATTTTTTTTACAATTATCAATTATCAATGTGCAAATTTGATAGCAAGCTGAGAGGTACATCGAGTTACAAACCTCTGGAACTTTCTGGTCAACTCCCAATTCTGTGTTTTGTTCAAGCAACATTTGCCCGTAATTTGATTGCTTTTATGATCTTTCTAAATTTACAAATTAATTGTCCATTAAACACCACTCAGATTTAGGTTCATTACTTAACAGCATTTTTGTACCTTGTTAACATTACAAACTTTGCTAATGCATTAATATTGTTGATACAACTTTTATGGATCAGAAAAGGGACAAGTTAAACTGCAATCTCATTCAAGAATGGAGTAAATTGGAGATCTTTAAAATATCACATTTTAAGTGCTGTCATTTTTCTTACTTTTTTTGTCTATCTTTTAATCTAACCTTCAATTCCCTCTCTTTATTCCTCTTTCTGTATCTGATTTGAAACATATTCACCTTCCTTAGCTGAGCAATAACTTGCAGTTACCATTGCTCACTGAAATATGCTATGTCTCATGTTGTCAAGGCATCTTTATCAGTTCCCATTTCCAGCTAACTAAATTTGAGATGAAGATTGAGGGAGAATTTCTATCTAATGGCGTGTGCCATGATCTGTCCCACTCCAGCAAGATCTGGCTTAGTATTTCCACAAAAAGGCTGTAAAGATTCCACATAATAAGAAATAACAATTACACATTCAGGCATCAGACAAGAAGATGGAGTAAATGTTCCCACCATTTCACGCTAGTATAAAAACACTAAATGCAGCCCATATAATGCATACAATCGTCATATCTGCGTGCACTGTGCTTTCAATCAGAACAGTCTGATCACAAGAAATAATTGGCAAATTGAAATTCGACACAAATAAATGAGAGATAATACATTTGGTTGGAAGAATAGGAAAGTCACTTACTTGGAAGGCACAGATCAAACCGGTATAGAGGATCAATGGGATCTCACTGTATAAACATCTCAATCACTAAAAGGTGCTCAATTAGCTCAGAAAAGAATTATTACTGGACTTGGTTACAGACAGATAGAATGGAAAAGTAGCGAAGTTGTTCTGTACCTGGTTGAACCTTGGTTAGACTGCATGTAATTCTTTCTGCCATAGTATAAAAAGGATATAGATATTGGGGAGAGTACACAGAAGACTAATAAGGATGATATGCAAAATTTCCCAGTATACTTACCAGGAAAAGATTCACATGCTAGGTCTTGTTTCTCTTGACAGGTGATCTAAGAGAGGTCCTTAAATTACATTAGGAAAGGTTTTGATAGAGTGGATAAGGAGAGAATGTTTCCAGTTGTGGGGAAGAGGACAGCAATGGCCATCAATGAGAAACTGTCACGAATAAATGCAGTAGGGTATTCAGAAGGAACGTCTTTATCCACAGAACATGTTTCCCCGCTGAGTGATTGATGTGAATAGCATAGATGAATTCAAAGGGATGCCAGGCAAAAAATTGAGGCTTGAGTAGGGCACAGACACTAACTGAATGCCTTGTTTCTGT